GGTAGATCTTGAGATAAGAACTGTTTTCAATCTATTTCCTTTATGGCGATATGGTAGCGATAATTTAATTTTCCCATAATTATTCAAGTAGGTCTCACATATCCATTGGATTTCATACATACTTATTTTCCAAAAGGCATTTTCATCCAGAGTGAATTACAGTTTCGACCTCATCTTGATGGTCTAGAAAGCCTACTTATAAACGAAAATAAGTAGCGCAGCCGATTGTAATAGCAGATACAACTTTGCTTCAGCGAAAATCCAACTACAGAAATGTGATATGGGAAAGGATTGATCTTCCTTGAAATTCATGCCTGCTCTGTGACTCAAAAGCACTCATGGCAATGTGGCATAAAGATTAATAGAAATGTGAGGCCCATTCATATCATTATGGGAAAATTCAACTACCAGTCCTTCCTCACCTTAAACGAAATAGGGCGAAAACAGTTGTTATTCATAGAATGGTTTGGTCACAGCAGTATGATAACCATAAGCCAGGAATGTGGATATTATAATAAAGGAACCTATTTTCATCTCAACGAAAAAAGCCGTTAACCTGCGGAAGCAAGGCAACTAGCCGAGGAGCTGTATGTCGACGCTGTGTGTAAAGGGAGATGGCGACAAGTTGGCGTCGGAGACAGGCGATTAGAAGAGTCGAAAACCAAATGGTGCTACCGGTGGCATTTGATTCATCGGGGTAAAGGAACTGTGCTGGTCGGAGGTGATAGTGCCGATGCAGTGTGCTGATCGGCTTAAATCCAAGAAGGAAGATGCCTGAGGAAATATGGTAAAAGTAGTAAATAATACAGTACTGGAGAATCAATCAGTATAAGTATGTCAAAAAATTTAATAGACAAGCTGCTCATAACATCATGTGATCTTCAAGATATGAAGACCGAGATGGTGTGGCCAAGTCTCCCAACTGGCATGGTCGCAGTCTTCTTTAGATCAATAGAAGTGGGTTGACTTTGTTGTCGTAACTTGGTCTTGTTGTCCGGGGGACTTAGTAGAACGCACCTAGTCCGAAGTCCTCTGCAATAGTAGTTATCAGAATTCCCAGCATCAGACAGTGGACTTGGCTCATTCTCAAACGTCTAGAAAGAAGTCATATGCTGGGATAATACTCAATTTCCGGTCCAATCACAATTACAGGCTAAAGATAGGAATAATAAGGAGCATGAACATACGAAGCCTACGCCTAACGGATGTAGAATTCTGGGACGAGGAGCTGGACAAATTGACAAGGATATTCCTCGGCAATAACTACCCTAGCGAAATGATACAACTGAATATACAGGCAGTGAAAAGCCAATGACAGAACGGGGAATATGAAAGGACAATGAAGGATTCACAAAAGTGGATATGTCTACCTTCCTGCGAACTAACTCAAAAACTACGGCCAATATTGAGGAAATTGAATATTCGGGTGGCCATGAAAAATAAATTAACACTTTTCACAAGTCTACCGACGCAGCATGAAAGGGTAAACAAATTGGATTGTTCAGGAGTTTACTGTATATCATGCGGAGCCTGCGAACAGAAATATATTGGCGAAACAGGGAGAAAAATTAGTAAACGAATCAAGGAATATCAATGGCTCTGCAGGAAAATGAATACCCAAAGATCAGAACTAGCGGAACACATCGCACATACTGGACACGAGATCAATTAGAAGGCAACAGAAATAAGGGTCTCATACGGTAAAAACACAAGGAAGGGGAAGATTAGGGAGGCCACTGACATCCTTGGGGAGGTAGAGTTAGCGATAACTTTGCCTACTGCTTAAATAAACTCGGGGAAGATAAGAATAGAACAAGACCAGCAAAAAGTATACGCTTGGATCAAGGAGCTATCACTAATCGGAGGAAGAGTGATGGCGATGAGGAAAGGGGGGGCGGGGAGTTTCGGCAATTAAGCGAAGACGTCAGTGAGTGATGTCCGTTTCGAATAAAACAGTACAACGTTGGGGGCCTGACAGTCAGAAGCTGGGCAGACGGGCAAGCAAATCGTCACAGAAATTCGGCGTTATGGCCTAAATATACTATAAATCCATTTGAGATCCAGCATGCGATCAGAGATAGACGTCCACAGTGTGCTCACGTAAAATGGATTTAATCAGAGACGATCCGTTAAGGGAATGCCTGATATCTGCAAGCATGATATCCAAACAAGTCAGAAGTTGTGATAGGGTGGGAGTTGGATAAGAGAGTAAAGAGTACATAAATAGGCCAGGACCGAAAGAGGAGTGATAGGGTAGCCGTATTCGACAGAACGTTTGTCGAGGGATTGACTTTATATGCCTCTTTGACGAGTTCGTAGCTTGTTGAGGAGAATGGCAAAACTCACTGATAATGCCGACTATGATGCCGGCGAAACTTTTGAGAATGTACCAAGTCCCCTGTTTGATGCTGGGAATTATGACAACTACTATGTCAGACGACTTCGGACTAGGTGCATTCTACTAAGTCGCCCTAACAACAAGACCAAGTTGCGACAACGAAGTCAACCCCCTTCTATAATGTAATCTTGTTTTCGATATATGTAGTTCTCGAGACTATCAGGTCACAATAGATCTCTTAAGATGATTTTAAAAATAGTAGTTGAGTTTACCCACAATGAGATGAATAGGTTACATTGGATTTGGCTTAGCCTTGCTACCCAAAAAGACTATCTTATCCAGCACAGAATGCAGTTTCAATCTCGTTTAGATCTCATCAATATCCTCAGTGGGATTCGATGCCAGTTTGTGAGTGTCATACCGATGCTACCACTTCACTCTATTATACGACGAGTGCCAGTGGGTTATAGGAAGGATGCGATACAGTAGACAAGCCAAGCCTCTCCCAACTCACTTTTATAGTGGGATTGGTGATTAAGCAAAAACTTCTTTGCCTTAGAAATCAACGTCGTGAATGATTTTCGATATAGGTGGTTTATGAAACTAACAGTAATGCTTGAATAAGAGGATAATCACCCTAGATAAAGTAGTGTGGTAAAATCCCCATGATACTAACGAACGGCATTTAAACCAATTAAGGATACTGATTGGGTTGCAGTCCATTCTGGATGAGACAAGCTTATGAGAAGCAAGGCTAGGTGGAATTCAAAGGCATTTTTAATGTGGAAAGATTAAAATAGCAGTCCTTAAATCACATTAAGCTCCCATTCAAGGCCTACTGATAGCCTTAAAATTTATTCACATCGAAATTAATTTGTACAAGATGCACTCAAGAAAACCAAAGTAATCAAAAAGTTAATATGCCAAGCTGCCTTACAATATATATATATATATATTCTAATATAATTATAAAAATATAATAATTTTGCATATAATACTAGAGATAAGTG